GAGGGTTTTAGGTTTTTAGGGTTTAGGATTATCGGGTCTTAGAGTTTAGGGTTCAGGGTTTTAGGGTTAAGGGCTAAATAGTCTTTGGGGGGGTTGGCTTCTAAGGCCCAGGGTTTAGGGTTTAGGGTTTAAGGTTTAGGGTCTCAGGTTTAGAGTTCAGCGTTTAGGGTTTTAGGGGTTAGGGGTTAGGGGTTAGGGGTTAGGGTTCAGGGTTCAGGGGGTTAGGGATGAGGGTTCCAGGGTTTAGGGTTTTAGGGTTTAGGGTTTTAGGGTTTAGGGTTTTGGGGTTTAGGGCTTAGGGATTAGGATTTGGGGTCTTAGGATTTAGGGCTTAAGGTTTAGGATTTTTAGGATCTTAGGGTTCAGGGTTTTCAGGTTTGGGGTTAAGATAAGAGTTCCAGGCTTTAGGGGTTTTGGATTTGAGGGCTTAGGGTTTAGGGTTTAGGGTTTACGCTTCAGGGTTCAGGGTTTTATGGGTTGGAAGTTAGGGTTTAGGGGTTAGAGTTCAGGGTTCAGGGTTCAGGGGTCTGGGGTCTGCGGTTTTACGGCTTAGGGTTCCTGGGTTTTGGGCTTTGGGTTTAGGTTTAGGCTTCAGGGTTGCAGGGTTTACGGTTTGGAAGCCCACGATTTGGGGCTACCTTCGTTCGCTACTACCACTAGTTCAGTAATATCATATGCCTCAGCCACGAGTTCATGTCGGTCATCAGCTCTGCATTTGAGAGATATTTGCAGCCAAAAACCACGCCTTTCCTTTCCCGCTCCGTGTTTTTTTGCTTGTGCTTGCCGAGCTGGTGACTGCAGTAGGAGGGCCCTGTCGATAGATTTTGGTCTTTGGGATCTGTCTCTTCCTGGTATGCTTGTGCAGGGGCTCGCCCCTGTAAACGGTCAGGGGAGGGGTTCGAGGAATTTAATAGATGCTCTTTGTAAGTGTTGTTTGGGTGGAGCTGCTGTGGAGGTCTGGTCAGTGTCGCTATACTGTTAACACCTTGCGAATGGATAGAGGTACTGTGGCAGCGAGCTTTGACGGTTCGGCTGAACATACCTATTTTTGCGTGGTGGATATGAAGCGTGATTTGTTCTTGGTGATGGCATTGGTAATTATATGGCAAGTGCAGCTTTGTTTGTGGCGTGGGACTTGTCTTCTCTCTTCTTTCCAACGAAACATGGCAGTGGTGGTGATAGCTGCTGCTTTTTGCTTTTTGCTGACGAGTGTGAACTTTTCAGCAGCAGTAATTGCTCTTGGTGAGTGCACCGGTCATTACCGGTCATTAGAGTCTGACGGTGAGTGCAACTTTTGTTCTGCCATGGCGTTCGTCTTCTCTTGCCTCCTAGGAAACAGGCCAGAGGCAGAGATAGCTGCTGGTTTTTGCATTTTGCCGACGAGAACGTAACTTTTGTGGAGTGGTGTTCTTGTCCTTTCGTTCTAAGGTTTCGTTTCACTACTCGACCCACCCTTATTTTGGCGGGGTGAGAACACACCGGAACGAGAAGCTTGCACTGGCACACTCACCCCAAACGTGCTTTGGTTGGGCATAAAACAAATCAAAAAGGTGCGGGCGAAGCGTCTAGACCTATAAGATTTCGCCTCATGCACTGAGCGATCAGAACAGCCCAGCACAACTCATTCATTGCAGGCTGAGAAAATGGGCAGCAGGATGCATGTTTGGTGAGTATTCAGCCCACCCAGTTTTCCTCTGTTTCCACATGTCCCACCCAGTTTTCCTCTGTTTCCACATTTTCAATGGTCAGAAGGTTGGGGTGAGTGAGTGCCTATGGAACTCACTTTTAAACCAGCAGTAGCCCCGGGCCTGGAGGCACTGCACTGTGTGCCAATCGTTGCGGAACTGCCAGCGGCACACTTTTCCTCTTTTTTGGCTGGTGCCCCTCTGCCGCCTCCATGCCTCCCATCTTTAAAAAAAAAAAAAAAAAAAAAAAAAAAAAAACGTCCGAGGTGGTGCTAGGGGTGCTGATAACACAAATCTGGTTTAAACCACCAGTACAGGGCCCCAACCTTCCAGAAATTTGTTCGTTGCCTACTCCGAGAATTTGGCGGCTCCGGCATACAGGACCACAATGGCAGGAGTTCTTTCACCTTGCCCATCCATTCTGATCCCGTATGCCTGAGCCGCGCCCAAGCCGCGGCTTGAGCATACGGTACCACAATGGTTTCCTCACGGCTGGACCTCAGCGGACGCTCTGTTTTGCCACTGAGGAAGCTGCCCGTTCCTTCACTTCCCCCATCCAAAAGGGAGGACGACGAGAGCACACCTCAATAGCATATTCCTTGCCTCCCTCCTTTCCCCACATTCTTTTCCACCTCCTTGCCCCCTCCCCTTTGATCCCACCCACCGTCCTCCCCCACGGTGACCTTGTCGGAGATGTGGGATTAGACACCGGGATTGTGGTGGTTCACGTCCTTTGGGTAATCTCTTTTGCTGATTGGTCTGGTTAGAAAGAAGTGGTGTATAATGGAAAAAAGAAGTGGTATATATATTTAAAAAAAGAAGTGAAAGAAGTGATATATATTTTTTTTTTAAAAAAGTGGTAGTTGGGAGAGGGAGGAACTAGTCTCTCAGCAGTAGGAATTTGGCGCCTGGTACAGGGCGAAGAGGTTTATTCCCTTTTCCCAACAACCTGCACAGTCAATCCTCTGGAGACAGAGTAATCAATGCTGGCAGGCGTCATTCTCAGTCATATTTCCTGACATTCTCCTGATTCATCCTGATTCATTCTGTGTAAGGGATGCGGGACGCGTTTTCCAGCAGGCGACGCTCCCCACCAATAGATGGAGCCTCTCCCCGGGTTCTAGTGATGCCTGCTCTTACCAGCTGCACTAGCACTGCTCGAGGTGTGTTAAAAAATAAAGACAAAAACAAAACCAAAACAAAGAAGTGATACAGGGGGAGGGGTAGAGGATGAGGTGCGTAGGATGGGAGTGGTTATCCTTCATAACCATTGGGGGGTTATATACATTTCGGGGTGGGTTGAGCGACCGTGAGCCCCCTTGTCGTTTGAGGTTTGGGGGTGGGGTTTTCTAGCCGGTGCGCTATGATTCTCTAACCCTGTTGATATTGAACGTGGAGGCCGCATAGCATAATGATTTCCTCAAAAAATAAAAAAGGATTTTTATTTTCTTTTTTTCCTTTTCAAAACACAATCTCTATATCATTCGCAACAGTGGGAATTAGGCCGGGTGTCCTTCACATCATTTCCTTCACATCATTTTTTTGTGCGACCCCTTGGAACACACCCAGCAATACCAGCCGGGTTCAAACCCACGTAGTTGTGCTGTGAGGTCCTCACCAGCACCTCACCAGTAATTCCTAAAGTCATGCATGTTAACAAGCCACAATTTTAGGAAATGTACGGGTCACTGCAGGAGCGCCCGAATT